CACATCTATTAGCTTCTGGAAGAGATCACCATGCCCACATTTGCTGAAGTCAAAATGAAGACGGTCCTCCAAAAGAGCATCATATGCAAGTTTTCCTATTTTGTAAAGTTCNCTGGAAGCATGTTGCTGATGGGAAGACTGGGCACTAGAACAGGATGGCTCCACCGGAACTTCTTTACTCACTGCTGAATGCTGTCTGTCAGTTGAAAAATCTTCAACAACATAAACCCAAACAGACAGCAGTTAGACAACCTCATGGGGTTTAGGACAGAGCATGGCACTATATGTAGTTTAAACCACCATAATTGGAACACTATGTCCTCACCTTATTTGCTAAGGGACCGGTCATAAAGTAGAAGAGGGGGTGGGCTATGAAAAATTGGGGGTGGGTCACTAGTTTTTAACACGTCAAAAAGGGTGGGTCAGGGGAGAAAATGCAATGCATTAGGGGTGAGTCGTGTTAAATAATTCACATATCACCACAAACGTTAGTAGAATCTGCTTTTTAAAAATATATCTAATTTTCCACCTTAGTGTAAACCAACTTTATATAACAACAGGAATTCACATATTCTATATTTTGTTTCCATTTATGTACAGTCTTAAATCTACAGAGTAGTCAGGAAAGGTTTTAAAGTACAAATCTCGAACACTAATTAGCTTTACCGGGTGTTCAGAAACCTTTACTTTATATATCATTTCAAACATCTTTTTACACAGCTTCTCCTATAAATCATCTTTTAATAGTCATCTTCATCACTACCATCACCCTCAGAACCATCATCATCATCATCCTTCTCATTATCATCATTACCATCATCACTATCATCATCATCATCACTATCATCATCATCTTCACCACTACCATCACCCTCAGCACCATCATCATCCTCCTCATCCTTCTCATTATCATCATCATCATCATCACTATCATCATCACTATCATCTATAGCACACAATACAACTTGTGACACATTTGCTCTAATATTATTAATAGTTTTAGCCATGCAGCGACCATCTCTCTTTTTTTTAAGCTGTTAAGGCCTATCACACTACAATGATTAGAGGTTATCACATCACCATAAGATGACGAGTGATTGATTGCGGAGAACTCTCTCTCACAATGTTCCCCATGTAGCTATCCACATTACTAATTTTAGTTGTGGGGTGGGTCAATAGGTTTTTCTGTGCCACTCAAGATGGAAAGAATATTAAAACAGAACTTCTAAACTACTTCGAAGGAAGGACTAGAAAGAAGGGGCTCCTGAGCAAGGTGGTGACTTGCACGTTCTTCAGTGGCTTTCTTTCCAAATGTAGGTTCGCCTCTTGTTTTCTTTCCTACTTCAGTAAGCAGTTGAGACCCATCTGATTGCTCTGCAGAGTTGCTGAGTATCTCTTTTGTAACCTCTTCTGCGCACTTGTGGTCAAATGCGCTTGTGTTCTCAAGATCGGCTGGGTTCCTCCATGCCCCTTTTCCTACGCTCTTGACAGAGACAATCATTATTTCAATCCCATCAGTGCTGGCTTCACCTTTATCAAATGCTTCACCTCTGAGGTATCTTCTGAGACTTGTCTTACCGGTACGGTCCTGACTAATCAACAAAATTTCGTTACGTCTATCGTAAGTTTGGCCTTTCTCTAGTGCTCTCCAGTACGCTTTCAGTCCCACTGGTCCCCTTGCCTGTATGTAGAAGGGGATTGAATCTGTAACAATTAAGAAAAGAATAAATCAATTAATTCGCTCCCTGTAAAATTTAAACACATTTAGAAGTAATTATTGTTCAGTGTGCACATAAAAGCAATCTTATATAGCAAATAAGGAAAACCTTTAGTTACAAGGACCTTGTGATGATAATTCTCCGTAATCTTATTTGGGACCTTACTTAGTACCTACAATCCCACTCCAAAAAACGCTCCTCCGAAAACCATATCAAATTCTAAGCCAAGTTCTGAGTAGAAAAGGCTACGACAAAACAGAGGAAAAATTTATTTAGGTTACTTTGGAAAAATGCCTTTAGAAGTAGTCGGCGCAATATTACCAGGGGGTGTGGACCGCGGTTCTTCCTGATTTGAACGTCCAGGTCGTGCATCTTCTACGTAAGATCCTCCCAAAAGAAGTGAACGGATTAGATTAACGTCCCACCCACTATCATTCTTCCTTAACCCCCTCCTTTCCTTCCTTCACCTCAATCCTTCCTGAGGAAAGCATATTTATTCTTGATTTTCCCCTTATCTGTTTTATCGCCCAAGTGCATAGATTCTCAGCAAATAGGAAGTGTTTATTTTCACTACTGCTTAAGGAGTGTTCATTACCGGCGAAGATCATCATCATCATCATCATCATCTTTATTTGCCTTATTTTAACAATTAAAAAAATAGTTAATTACAGCGATAACAGTTAGAAGGCGAGGAGACCCAAGAAGCCACCAGGCTTATGGGAGAGCCACCTCACTTAGAATAATAAATTAAGTAAAGAAAAAGTGCTGCGAATGTGCGGCTTGGCCAATTCAGTGATTATTTAAGTAAAAACTCTTGCAATTTCGCTTTAAAGCTAAGAAAGTTTGACGAACGAGTGACTGAAATAGGGAGAGAGTTCCAAATTTTAGGACCTTGGTAGAGAATTGTAAACTGCTTGACATTTGTACGGCACAAATGCGTTCGATAATTACTGGCTGTTCTGGTACCATAGTTGTGAATTTGGCTATTCCTTACAAAAAGATCGAGAAGCAATGGGGGCAATAAGTTATTTTTGAAATAAAACATAAATTTAGCGATTTCAAACGTATTGACTTGGAAAATATCTAAAATTCCTAGTTTGGAGAATAAAGGGGCAGAGTGGTCTCGATAGTCTGAGTTGGTGATAGCCCGCACAGCTCGCTTTTGCAAATAATAAATTCTATTTAAGTTAGATACGTATGTGGACGACCAGACGGAGTTACAATAGACGATATAAGGATAAACTAAGGTGTAATACAAAGTGAGCTTGGTTGCAGAGGATAGGGAAAAGCGAGACCTAAATATAATACCTATTGATTTAGCGATTTGTTTACATACATAGCTGATATGGTATTTCCAGGTGAGATGATTGTCAATATAGACCCCAAGGAATTTAGTTACATTAGCTTGTTGTAGGGGTTTACCTCCAAAGGAGAGAGAAATGCTGGAGTTAAATTTCTTCTGTCTGGGTTTAAAAATTATATAGTTGGTTTTCTTTACATTAACTGAAAGCTTGTTACATTTTAGCCAAACGTCAATGTTTTGGAGTTCATCATTAAGTATAGATTCTAAGCAATTTAGATTTGAGTGAGAATAAAAGATACTGGTGTCATCAGC